TGGGAAAGGTGTCGGGAGATCATCATCATTGCCACCTCCCTCATCATCACCACCGAGCCGGGTAACCCTGGATTCTGCCAGCTGCTTCCGAGCGCGGACCCTCTCTCCACCAGATCGCGACCAGACACGGTTTGACTCACACCTGTATTGCAACGCTAGAATAAACCTACGCAGTTCATACAACCTTACCTCGACCACGACAAGTGCGAACACAGGAAGCAGAATTCGGCCAGGTACGCGCTCGCTCGGAGACGCGCGTGGCATTACTAACTCCTTTAAAAGAGCATCGTCTCGACGCACGGAAACAAAAGAGAGCAACGTTCTCGAACTTACGAGAACGCCAACTTAAAAGAGTAAATAGAAGAGCATTCTTCCCTTTGGAATCCAACGTGGTACCTCCACGCAGCAAACAGCAGTAACCATTCGGCCACGTATACGCTCTCGCTCGGAGACGCGTGTGGCAATATCATTGGCTCGTTAGCGATCATAAGGGAACGCGTCACGCACTGTGTTCCTTAAAACTATCAGAGATTATAGACATCGAGATGAGCGCCTGCCTTCCACAGGACTCAACCTCTTCTATGGGTAACTATAGTGGACTATCCTAAAAAGAATAAGCGTCTGCTAAATTAACAAGGAGTGAAGGTATGCAGACGAGCTTCATGTTTAGGAAACATTATAATCTAAACACTTTTTTACTTCCTGTTGTCTCAGGGGTGTAGGTTATGATGGTTCTAAATTAAAGCTTTATTTCTTGTTCTAGTCTGATACGTAGGTGCGGTTTATGTATACTATCAAATATTATGTACCCTGCAATTCGAAACACGAAAAAAAAAAAGTGAAAGCCGTTTCCAACTCCCTGTAACGCCAAATTAGAGCGCAGCTCTTGAGGAGGAGGAGGGAAGTGTACTGAGGGTCACGTGTTCTCGGGGGGGGGGGGGGGGGGTCACGTGACCTTGGGGGACACGTGACCCCCCGAGAAATTTTTCCGCTAGATTTAGCGGGGAAACTTTTCCGCTAGATTTAGCGGGAAAATGTTTCCGCTAGATTTAGCGGGGAAATTTGGCCTCCAGATTTAGCGGGGAAATTTTTCCCCTATATTTAGCGGGGAAATTTTTCCCCTAAATTTAGCGGGGAAATTTGTCCGCTAGATTTAGCGGGGAAATTTTACCGCTAGATTTAGCGGGAAATTTTTCTGCTGGATTTAGAGGGGACATTTTTCTGGTTAAATTTAGCGGGGAAATTTTTCCACTAGATTTGGCGGGGGAAATTTACCTCTAATGCAACGCGCGGTTACGCCGACGGCGACGCCGACACCGACACCGACGCCGACTGCGACGGCGCTCAAGCCGGAGACGGGCGCCGAAGAGCTGTGCTCTAATACCGTATTTACTCGAGTAATAGCCGCACTGTTTATGAAGAAAATTCGAGGTTTCACTTTTCCGCGGAGCACGCAGATTGCCAATCACCGGGATGGACAGCATGATTCCAACACTTTACAGGACAGAAAAAGCGTCTTCGTGCGAAGGTACCATCTGTGAAGATTGCATTTGTATTGAGAATCGTGTTCTCGATCTGGTTATTCGCTATGTTATTTATGCGCAACGCAATGATTGGCTGTATATGTGTTATGTGGGAAAGTATACGCAAAGGCCTTGTTCATAAATAGTGCGGCTAGGTATTACTCGAGTAAATACGGTAGTTTTCCTACATCACGTTTCTCCGAGACTCGCTGTCGGGGCAGTACATCGTGAAATCTCGCCCTCTCCAGGGTTACATTTGACCACATTATTATCAGATTCTCTTAAAAAATATATATATTGGAGAGTTTGTACGTCTGGGCAGTGTGGTGAACGCTGAAAATGCGGCAATCACCGAGTGAGTCGCAAAAAGAGAAGTTTTGGCAGACTTTTAGGAGTGTAGAACAATTAGATTATAGGTAGTAAAATATTTTGCTCGAAATAAATATAACTGGTAATTTATAACCCAAAAGGGTATGTTCTATAGCAGCAGCGTTTAAACATTCCACAATATAGTAAATTCGTGTCTTTAAACAAATGTATTGGTGAACGTCGCGTTCAAAAGTATATTCAAATTACATAGTATCAATATTAGCATGATACTCGAAAAATATTGTTATAATATCAATATCAGATAACAACATCTAAGTCTGTGTTTGCATGTCTTTAATACCTTCAGTCTTCTCTAGGCAATATTTCATAAAACTTACTTGCTCCTCGTTATGCGGATGTTCTTGTAAACATGTATATTGCCTCTACATATCGGTCTTAAAGTTGGCCCAGAGAAACCAAATATAAAGCCGGCATTTATAGTGCCTGTTGTGTCTTCTGTTACTTAAAATAAAGCGTTTTATGATCTAGTGTCAAACATCGACTAAACATGGGCTAAAGAACTTCATCTTTACCCTATAAGCTTTGCTCTTTCGAATAGTAAAATATTAATAAAAAAACATACTCGACTTCCTCCCATATCCCTTGCAGGTAAGGCAACCCAATAAATGATATTAATATACAAATATCTGGGAGAACATGATTGCAGTTTATTTTATTTTTATTACGACAGCCAACTGGTGAACATTTGTTAGTGCGTTCATTAATAGGACGAAAGTTACAGGCAACAGAATTTTACCGAGGCGCTCGGTGAACCCGTTACATCAAAAGCGACACTAACATTATGCTCTGTTTTTACTTCTAAAGAGAAATTCGATTGATGACCCCGCAAAAATAGTCACAATACCGCCGCGCCCGCAGCGAGGTTAGCAAGGCATTCGGCTGCCATGTGGAGGAACAAGGTTCGAGTCCCGCTCGGCCCGTTGCTCTATAAAGCCAACCAACCTCAGAAGCCGCGCAAGCACGAAATGTGTAGGACGGTCAGTCCGTAACCTTTAAAGGATTTTAAGAAAGAAAAAAAAAAAAAGACGGCAATCGGTGCAAGGGACCGAACCCCGGTTACCGGCGTGGAAGCCGAGGGTGCTGTTCACTGAACTATAGACCCAGCACGCAGGAGTGGGAGGAACAAAAGCAAGTGGTGTAGGAAAGCGCACAGAGCGGAGAGCGTGGAAAGGGCAAGAAAGAGGAGCAGAAAAAGTGGGCGCAGACAAAATGCGCAGGACGAGGGGGAGTGAAAAGGGGCAGGAAAACGCGCTTTCCTCCTCTTAGTGACCCAGGAAACTTGGTATCCGGTCGGTGCTGAAGGAAAGCTCGTGAAGCGTCACAAAGAAAGAATGGTGCGAAGAAATCTGTTTCCATACAAACCCCTGCCTTAGGCACCACCCCATCTAAGAGCACCGCCCACGCCAGGCACTATAAGATAAAGGGTCATCACGCCCTGGGCACCACCGGAACTACGAGCACAGCGCCTCTTATAATGCATTTAAACGGGTTTGGCTGAATAATGACATATGCAACCATCTTTCTTTCTTTTTATCTTTCTTTCTTTTTATCATTTTTTTTTCTCCTTCTCTTTCCCTCTTATCCTCTGAAAAGTTCCAGCTCACTTTTTGTTCCAATCGTGTATTCTGGTTCTGAATGTACCTCGTTTCAAGTAGCAGCAACGTGCAGCTTCAGGTTAATAGCCCTTCTGTCACAGTCTCAGGATGTACTCCACCCTTCTTGTTTTAGTATATAGCACAATTCCGCCTTGTTAAACTAACTATATATTGAGGCTTACATCCATCACATATTTTATTCGGGACATTACTGCGTTACAAAGGGGCATACCGTAGAATACTCAGCAATTCGAAGGTCAATACAGTTGTGCCAGAAAACCATTCTATAACGTTTCAATTTTTGATTTGCTATAAAGAAAACTAGACGCTGAAAAAATGCGCCGTCCAACAAAGATGTAACAGATTATACATAAAAATAGACGAGAGCAACGCCATAGATTGTCCTTGCAATCTATGGCGTTGCTCTACAATCTCACTTTGGAAAATGTGCTCAGACGAGACACTTATCCCAGTGTAGCTTCCTCTCTAAAAAAAAAAAAAAAAAAGATGAGTTTGTTTTCTAGCAGAACACGGAGACAACCAGTCGCGGCTAACAATAGAAGAGTCACAGCGAATGCAGTGATGGAGCTGGGAATACGATGAGACCAAAATAATGAATGTGCACAGGGACATTGAGTATGACGTTTTTCTTGCTTATCTTCCCAGCGCACATCGCTTTTTTGAAGTGTAATCGTGCTCTCAGCTTCGTCTTTCGCTGGGGTCCCTCTAGAGCTGCCCATGTGTTCTACATGAATGTGAACACAATAATTTTTAGAATTTAGTTCTCTCACTCTTCGGAGCTCACTGTTTGAGAGGATAACAATACTATCAGATAAAATACAATTGATTGCTATGTTGAATTACCTTGTGCGAAATCTAATCTTCCAAGCGCTCCAGATTCGGGAAACACAACTGGTTTAACTCGCGCTTGCTTATTTCGCATACCTGATAATGTATGTAGTGGTCACGAATATATCTTCATTGTCCGTACGCCCGAAATAATATTCATGCTTATTGAGTATTTTGAAAGTAAAGGTCTTGGTAAATCGAAGCTCGTAATGTTCTACGTAAGAAGCAGAGTTGGAATAGCGTTGTGAAATAAACAACTGTCGAATTATAGACAAAAAAAAAGGGAAAAAAAGAAACATATTCCCGCTCCTCTCCTTCATAAAAGAAGCGATTCGAAAATTGTTCACATCTGTAGTCCGATGCAACCTAAGAACGAAGGGCGAGGGTAAGACGGGCCGGGGAGGAGGAATCAGACGGAACGCTCAAGAGAGAAGGAGGTTTCCCCCTCTCTTCTCCAGCGTTCCGTCTGCTTCCTCCTCCCCGGCCCGTCTTACCCTCACCCTTCGTTCTTAGGTTGCAACGGACTATAGTGCGGTACATATATTCTTCGTCGAGGTTTCCCAATTTATTACATAAAAAATCCCTAAACGGTTAGCAAAATACTTTTCGCGTTCACGTCCAGCCTGCCAATGTGCAAAATGTGATGCGACAATTGTATCTACGCTCGTCATGTTTTCTAAGATAAAGAGTGTCACACTTTCGGCTGCAGAGTTCATTTAATCACCTGCGCCTGTCGGTTGTCTTTTTTTCGACGCAGGCGTCTTTTACGACGACACTCAGACGCCGGAAGAAGAGCAGCTGCTACTGCGTGCCGTGGACAGAGCCAACTTGAACGCCAGTGACCATAGAGACGCCTCTTCGGCGGAAGCTGGGGCGTCGAGGATCCCGCATTTAAGTCTAGCCGTGCAGCGGCTGTCTCCAGGCGACGCGTTTCGCTCTTCGAAGAAAGGTCAGCCTCAATCAAAATATTCTAACCCTAAGAAAGAGTTCAGACAACCGTATATACAGAATTTTTTTTTTTTAATTCACGTTTTAATTGCAAGTTCAATAAAACTTCTATATCTAATTTCACACTAACTCTGAGCGCAGGCGGCATCGTCACGACTCTCGTCGTTTTTGAGCGTTTCCTGTCACAGGATAAAGTAATCACGTTCACAAGGAATTAAAACAGCAAGATCTCCGCACATTCACTATGAGTGAGGTGGTTTAGCCGGTCATAGCTTACATAGAAAGAAGACGAGAGCCTATAACATTGAAGGCGCACTTTTGATGCGTCTTGATTTTTCTGTATGAAATCGTATAGTGTCCGCTGTGCTCGAACTTGGTGCGAAACGAAGAGTAGTCTCAGACACTTCCAAACTGCGAGGACGAAACGTGAAAAGCTGAGATTTTGCTACTGAGTTCTTGCCCCATATCGTTGGTGTAATGTTTAACTAAGTAGTTAAACATTTGTGTAAGTTATTTTTTTTTCTTCGGTTCTTATAACATGTTTCTGTGTAACTGAAGCGTTGTTTTTTTAATTGAACGCAAACATGTTTCGAATACTTCGTTTCAGGTAACGTAGAGACGTAGCCAAAGTGCGAGCTAATTAGGCCAATCAAACACCGTCTAAAAGCGCAAGCCACAAGACCCTCTGTGTTTATGATAGGTTCAGCGATGACAGAACACGTATGAAAACATCACGAACACCATGATTGGTGGGCTCTTAACGCTGTCTGATTGATCCCATCAGCACGTAGGTTCGCCGGCAACTGGACTTGAGGTGAAACGAAGTGTGGAATTGAATGATACATTCGAAAAACGTGCTCCATATGTTGGAGATTTTCCATGCACATGAGGCACGTCTCACGCATTTTATGAATGATCGGCCCGTATACTAGTCGCCTAATCTCGTTTCATATCGAGAAAGCCCGATTTCTCCTTCAGACTTTACCGACAAAAACTACATGCACCCCTAGGATGCATATCCCGTAATACCAGACCAAGGACTATTATACAGTAAAACATCTTATAGTAAGAGAGTCTACGCAGAATTCACAATTTGAAATCGGTCAAGACAATCTGGCTTTTCTTACGCACCTATTATAACCATAAAGGAAAATACTGTGGGTGCTGTGCGGTTCTATTTAAATAAGATATAGCTAACTGTATGAGTATTAAATCAGATGGAGGAAAATAATACCATTTATTTGCTATCTGTCAGGAAACGTTTATTAGTAGACGCCATACATCAATTTTACTTCTACATTATTTGTTAAAAAATGCATATACGAGTAGGACCCAAAAGTAGCCGGAATAAATTTCTAGAGGGCAGGGTGTTCGTGGTTCCAGCTTCCGCTACTAGCAGAGCTAAGCGGCACCCCTTCCGAATCAATTTGCCGACCGGTAGTGGACTGCTAAGGTTCTAGCGGCTTGTTGTAATTTTTTCTCAAAGCGCTTCGAAATCATTCTTCATGTTTTGCTTTGCCTGATTTTAACGAGCTTCCCCATTTGCAAAACGATTTCCTTTCAAGACTTTTTTTTCATAAGGGCGAACATAAAAGCGATACACGGGGCGATGTACGGTGAATCGGGGGGTGGAGAAGCGCTGTCATGCCACCTTTTGTTCAAATAGTGTTGCACTGACAGGGCGGTGTGTGCTGGGGCATCGTCGTTATGGAACCACCGGCCCCTCCTTTGCCACCAATCGGGACGTTTCTGCCTCAGTGAGTCGCGCAAGCATCGCATATTTCCCAGGTGAAACACCTCATTAACAGGTTCACTAGGAGGAACAAACTCGAAGTGAAAATGCCCGAACGTTTCGATTTTTTTATGAGTTGAGGAGGTTGGAGTGTCGTCCGGAACGAGGTTGGTCGTCGATCAATAGTTCACCGGCTTTGAAGCGAGCAAACCACTCGTACACCTGTGATTTCTTAATAGCGTCTTCTTTGTACGCTGTCTCAAGCATTGCAAGAGTGTCTGCCGCCGTTTTCAGTAAAAAAAAAAAAAAAAAAACATTTTACGGCCACACTTTGTTTCTTCAAATCTAACATTGCAAAAAAAAATTAAGACAAAAACAAAAAAAATCCCAAAACCACGAAGGTTGATTTTGAGGTGCTTGGGAAAAAATTCACAACATGCCGCTAAAACTTTAGCAGACAACTCTAGTCGGCACACTGACTCGGAAGGGGTGCTGCAAAGCGCTCGTAGCGGCAGAAGCTGGTTCTGCGAACGGTTCGCCCACCAGGAATTCATTTCGGTTACCTTTAGGTTCCCCATCAAATGTCATATATGATTGTTTCATATGGTATAGGTTACTGGTCGCATGGACACGTATGTTCTTTTTTCTTCTAGCCGGCTACTGTGCTAAACCTTGCCGGCATTATTTTAGATACAAGTTCATTTTAAACTTACATTCCGCGTTCGATAATACAATTCACCAAATAACGTAAATGAAACAGGATGACTAATTCTGTTTTTAAACGCGTAAAAATAAATACTTGGGCAATAGAACGGTAAACGATATCAGTGCCTAAAGACAGGGTTTCTCTTTGTAACTGCCGTGTCGGCATCCGGTGGCCTTGACGTCTCGATCGGGTTAACCGGCAGCTACGCCTGTCACACTAATTCCCGAAAAGTCGGTCCCTCTCTTACGCCAAGACGCGGGTGTCGACGTGAGTGCCTTGCTTCGTCGTTGATCTCGATGCGCCGCCTTGGCGGATCGATACGAGAGTTCCGATAGAGGAAACCCGATTTGCCGGGACCTACGCCAAGCGTGACGTCGGATCAAGACGGGAAAGGAGCGGAGTGGGTCAGCCATTAGCGTCCAGTCTCTCGCTCAGTGAGAATTACGCCAAGGGGATAGTTACAAGTACGAGTTGTGAGTTTGGAAGTGAGGGGAACATTGCTCAAGAAGGCCCTTGGTTTGTCACTTGACACCTTTGACTGGATGTTGCTAGCGTTGTAGCGGAGTTTTATGTGCCTTTACAGAAAACGTTTATATAGCTTTACCATTAAAGGTTGCTTCCTAATTACCGACAACTTAAAAGGGAAAAAAAAAACGCTGGGTGTCGTGAGTTTTGGTTATTTTACCACCGCTCAGCAGCAACTGAAGTTGCAGCATCAGTCGATAAGTACACCAAGAAAGGATCACAAAGCAGTAACATCATAGACCACGTAATTAATTTCTGAAGCTGTCAGTGTCTCAACTCATATCTCTTCCATTTAGGAGCAGTTTTTAATATTATAAAAAACGTATTAGTGCGTCTTATATTTCTTGACCACAAGAAACCTGTACAAAAATATACAATGTTGAACGTTGTAATAGTGACTCTAAAAATTTTGCACCTGAAAGAAAGTACGTCGATGTATTGCTGCTCTAAATGACACGTGCGTATTCTAAATACATTTAACGCCGCCTCCATATTGCTTATTTCACGCGGCTTTTCCGCTACCGTATTGGCAACTGCTCGAAATACCTCGATGCATTCAAAATTATTAGTTCAGCCGGTAAGACGATATACCTATTCACGTGTTCCTGAAAATCGTAGAGTATTATCGTGGTTTTGTGTCAGCGCCAAATTTGGTTCAGTCTAAGTTCGTTTCTTTTTTAATATTTTTTATTCACTATACACAGTTAAGCAAAGGATATAAACAAAGATATAATTTGAGTGTTAGTGAAGGTATATCTTGAGAAGACGCGTTCAACCAGCTTTATATACGAGAGAGCGTTTAGATAGTATACTGGCTAGCTTTGAAATTATTATAATACAAAAACATTGGATGCATTGCGAAACGACTGCCGATTTTCTATTTGCAACAGTCGAGTGAGGCATTCACGCATTAAAATAAAGAGCGCCGTAGGTAATATACGTCGTGATTGACGTTCAATATTTGTTATGCGTAGGGGGGCAAGTAGAACAACAAAAAAAATCACGAAACCTAGAAAGCATAATATTTAAATAAAGAACATTAAATGCATTCGATTTTGGCTGGTCTTCATACAGTGAGGTGGTGTCTAATAATATTTCAAGTTAGGCTTTTCTATAAAAGAAACAATATTGGTTTTAACCAAACTGGTGAAGGTTAAAAGGCTGCTGCGCAAACTAAAGCAACTTGACTTTACGAAGCCTTCTGGAATCTATGATAAAGTCATATTTTATTTAATCAGATAGTAAAGAAATCTTTACAATATATACTCACAGCTGAGAAGAACACAGGATAAGGTTAATACACCCCTAGACGTTACGTCCTTGAGACGGTGCAATTTCTTGAGAGTTTTCTAAAAACGATGCCTTTGGCATCGTTATAGCTCCTAAACAATGCCCCCCCCCCCCCCCCCAAACCAACCCCACTATTGTTTTTCTGTTTTTATTCGCATTTTGTGGTCCGCCATGTTGCAGGTCTTCGTGGTTCATTATCCACCATAATTTTCCATGATCTGCCAAAAAGGGTACAAAATATGCAATTTTAGTTCATGCCATGAACTAAAATTGCATATTTTGTACCCTTTTTGGCAGTCTCCAGAAAACTGTCTGTGTTTACAAGGGGACACAATTGTAGCTTAAGTTTTTTTCAATTGATCAAACGACCTTATGCCGAATTAAGTTTTACGAGGAATGCAGCGGACGCTGTCTTTCACCCTGGGCCTTTCTGACACAGACTACCGCGTCCTTTAAAAACGTCGCCGCGTCGCCGTTTTTTCTTTTTTTAGAGCTTCGTTTTGTGTAGTTAACACCGTCTTCTCTTCTGCCTCGTTTGTTTTCTCTTTAGTTGTTGTTTCCGAAAGTTCTTGACAGCTGACCAACTTTATACCCCGTGTCACCTGACGACGTACCAGAACAGACGCAATAAGCCACCATTGCCAATCCAATGCACTACTCGCGCCACATGACATCACACACCGCGCATCGGTCCGCTCAACGGGAAGGTCACGTGACACCATCCGAGCTATACACTCTGAAAAAAGGG